GGTGAGTTCGCCAGAAAGCTCAAATTGTATAAAAATGTAAATAATTTAACGAAGACAAACTGTAATAGGGGCGTTGCGCGGGGCGGTGGTTAGCGCGGCGCCCCGCATACAGAGTCTTTAGCCCGCGGTAATCAGGAGTCCGACTCCCGTCCTCCGTTCGCTGGGCCCAGGCCTGTCTCCGCTCTCTCTGCCCCCTTATAGTCAGATCGTTGTCAAATAAACTAGTGCCGAAAAATTCCTTAAAAAAATAAATAAAAAAGACTACCGGAGTAATGTGTTACAACGCGTCATGATGTCAGGCTTTTTATCCATCCAACTGATCAGCGTCACCCTGCGTATTGAAGCTTTTAACCTGGCAGCTTTACGCTCTTATAAAGATGTGGTTTGACTACATCTGGAAACCAAGTCCAAGCTTCATCCTGAGGATCTGATAGAGGCGATCTTGGCCGCCGTCTGCATGTCGGTTCAGAGAGCCGCTGCTGAGTCAGCAGAGATCATGCTGCGCATCGGGAGGAGGAGCAGCAGGAGGAGCAGCAGGAGGAGCAGCAGGAGGAGCAGCAGGAGGTTTCGTTGAATTCAACTGTAACCAAACGGGATCCGTTCATAATAAGTTTGGTTTGTGATGTTCCAACAGCACCAGTGGTCAGTGTGATAATTTGACTCGTATACCAGTAACTGTCCAGAGATCATCAGCATCAGCCGGTGTTTGGAAAAAAAAAAAAGTCAGACCCGACTTTGTGCAACGAGCTTTTCTGAGCTGCTCACGAAGAATGATCTGTTTATCTTTTAATTCTGCATAATAGACTTAGGAAAGCGGGAGAAGGTGAGAGTGTGTGTGTGTGTGTGGGATCCATACTTGCTGTGAAAATAGCTGATAAAGCCTCCAAGTAGTTGTGAAGGGTTTTTGCGCTTACGTCACTATGACGTCACCGCGACTAGTCGACATCGACTCGACTATTATCATGATGTAGTCGACCTTAAAAAATATGTAGTCGTTCAACCCCTACACACACACACACACACAGTGGACGGAACCAGCAGGAAAGTCTCATCTGCAGCTGCTGAGGTTGAAGTGAAATGTTTCCTGGAGCTTTTATTGTGAAGGTCTCCCAGGTGAGTTACCTTGATCTTCTGGATCGAGCTGCTGTCCTGCTCGCGGCACCACACCGTCACTCCGCCCTTGTTGTACCGGCTGCTCCATCCGTCCGGACTCAGACACTGATCCTTAAAGGAGGAGAAGTCCGAGTCGTCCGGGATCCGAACCGGCATCTCCGATCAGTCAGGCCGCCTTGTTCCGGCGCTCCGAGCAGAACCGGACCGGAGGAGGAGGAACTGAACCACAGAGACCAGCAGCGGGTCCTGGAGCGGGTCAGAGAGCAGAACCTCAGGCTGAGCCGGACCGGAACTCCTGTCTGACCAACGCTGGGTCCAGGTTCAGGTCGGGTCTGAGATGCAGCAGGTGATGCTGCAACTTTTATCCGCCTCCTGCTGCACAGATAGGTCAGACAGTCAGAGCTCTCACTCCGCTTGAAAACAGTGGATCAAGTTCTGGCTCAGGTAGAACCCGTCCCACCTGGCACCAAAAATTCCCAAACCAAAGAGACCCAGACATCCATGGGTCAAAGTTACGGAGTAAAAAAATTAATAATTTGGGTTATTTTAGTCAGAAAAAAAAAGAGTCATAATTTCACCTTATTCATTCAAATGTTTAGCTCAGGATTCGGTCTCACAAACTTTTATAAAAAAAGTTCTTAAAACCCAGCTTTTATTTTGATAGTTCTGCTTGTCTCATATTAGCCAAACATTTATATCTGTTGGCTAAATAATTAGCTAAGTTGTTAGCTTCAAACTAAATAAAGGAAGGTACTTAGTATAGAGCTAAATATTTATGGTATTAAATATTTAGCTAATTAAATGTTTAGGTTGAAACTAATTTATAAACGAGTGAATAAAGTGGTGAAAATATGACTGTGAAATTTAACAAAGTGCTCGGATCTGACCAAATCTGATGGATTTCTCGGTAAAATATCTCATATAATCATGTCAAGGTTGTAACTTTCAGTTTAATCGGCAGCTAACAAAATTGTAAAAAAAATAAATAAACTAAGTCTTGTGTGGAGGTCTTCTTTGTTTTGTGTTATTTTAAACACTAAGAGAATCGCTCTTTTTCCTACTGTTCTCTCTTATGCCTGACAAATAAAAGTCAGTCACCAAACACAGTTTTCCAACACGTTGTGTGTATTTATCATTGTTCATTCCTGATGTAATGGAAACCTGCTGATAGGGCACCAAAAAACAAGACTTCCTGAAAAGCTTTCTGGAAAAATCCCGTCCTAATGTAAAACATGACAGATTACTGGATTGAGAACATTTCTAGTATACTACATGCTATCGCACATTATATTTGAGAATTTGGAAACAGTTGCTCTTTATTTCTCAAAGTTATGGGGGGAGGAGAGAATGGATATTTCAGCTACCTGAAATCTGTTCCGCCTCCATAAAATGGGAACAAATTAATTTTCTACCAAGTCTTTAGCTTTGTTTATTCCTTTCATCATTAACAATAAATCATGTAAGTTTGAAAACATTTGCTCACTATTTCCAAAGTTAAGAGGGGGAAACCGTATATTTTAGCCTACACTCATCTCATCTTTTCAGGAAGTCTAATCTTCGTGTCTTGCTATCAGCAGCTTCCGTCCTCTTATATTAGCGATGAAAAATTATAAATTCACACAATGTGTTGGAAAACTGTGTTTGGTGACTTACTTTTTTGTCAGGGTGACAAAAGTAGCAACAAGACCGATTCGTTTGGTGAGTAAAAACAACACAAAACAGCGTAAGAAAACCTCGTTCATTTATTTATTTTACGATTTTGTTATTGCTTCTTTTTAAACAGCAGCTGATTAAACTGAATGTTACAACCTTGACATGATTATATGAGTTGGTTTCACCGAGAAATCGACCAGAAGCGCCGTGAAAATGAACGGATCCTCTCAGGCTGCAATGCGCGCTCCCGACACAGGGGGGCAGAATTTCGCACAAGACCTCTTCAGGCTTAAAAATCCAACCGAGGTGCTGCGGTGGCAAAGTACAACCCACATATGGAGGCCTTAGTCTTCGTGGCGGCAGTCGTAGGTTCGATTCCCGGCCTGGCAACATATGTCTTTCTCTCATTACCCTATTAACCAATAAATCGATCAATCAGTGAATCATTCATTGTCTGCTGTGGTTCAGCGTAACTCATCTGTTCAGGAGAGGATCTATGAGGTGCTTTCAAGTGCAGCTCAAAGATCTCCTGTCTGGATGACATCATCAGGGTCACCTGCTGACAGGTAAGCCTCATCTGGTTTCTGATTGGTCCGTCAGAGGATGCAGTTCAGGTAAACTTCCTGTTCCATCTGACAGGATGGTTCTGGAAGCACAGCTTCCGGTCCTCCACGGATCTAAAGCTTCAGTATATCTGATGAATCCCAGAGAAAGTCTTCTGCGAGTCCATCTTCATTCTCTGTAGCCGGGTCGGTCCAGTTTGATGAACAGAACTCTAGAACAGATTACATTTAAATCACATCCAGTTAAATCCAAATTATAATCCCAGATTCTCAATAATCAGGTCCATCAGAACCCAGAGGTTCTGATGGACCTGATTATTGAGGGACCTGATTATTGATTATTGAGGGACCTGATTATTGATTATTGAGAGGTATCCAGAGGTTCTGTAGAACGGGTCGGTGGTTCAGCGGTTCCTGATCATTTTTCTTCTTTTAATCTGAATAATTTCTTCAGCCAAGTTCTGATCCGATTCTTCAAAAATACATTTAAAACCGGAAGCAGCGTCTCGATGACGGCGTCACCTAATTTGCATATTTGGTCATGTGATCCTAACCAATAGATTTAAAACATATGAAACATCCAGAACTGTAGATGTAATCATGTAAAAAATTTGAACTAAAGGAAGACAAACATGAATCGGGTTTATTTTAACAGTTAAAAACATTTGAAACATGAAAAACTTTATTTACATTAAATGTCCTGCAATCCAGAACAAAATGGCTCCAAACGTTTGTTATGAATTATTGCAACATAAATGAACTGAAAACGAGAAGGAAGATTTTCTGTTTTTGTTTAATCATCAAAATTTGAAATGAAGAAGTTCAGGAACTCCACATGGTTCTGCTTTCATTCCTGTCAGAAGGAACCGGATCAAGTTTGATTTTCAGACCAACAGATTCTCTCATCCTGGAATCTCCTGGATTCTCCTGGATCAGGACTCAGACTCTTGGTCTGCTGATCCTGATCAAATCACAGCTGTTAGTTTTCAGATGATTCGTCATATTTATAAACTGATTGTGGGCTTCTCCTGCTGCTGACCCTTGACCTCTGAGAACATCTGGAAACCTGGCCGTGTGCACAAAGCAGCTCTGTGTCCCACACACACACACACACACTCACACACTCTCCTGGTGCTGCAGAGGAAGCTCTAACTGGAAACAGATTGAGGTGGAGACGCCCAGTCCCAGTTCATTAACTGGGACTGGTCTGTTCCCAGTTCTGGTTTCCATCAGACTGATGATGATGATGATGATGATGATAAAGCTCTGATTCATTTCTGTTTGGTCGGTGATAAATTAACGTGAATAGAAAGGTTCTGGATCCTGGATCCCCCCATCATGTTCTTTGTGATGAAGTCTCTTCACAGCCATGATGTTTGGTTGCCATGACAACACCTGCTGAGTCCACAGTTTCGACAAAACCTCCGGGTCATCAGAACTTGACAGGCTGATGAGTTTCAGGTGCGGTGAAGCCCCGCCCCCTGTGCTGGCCACGCCCCTTCGGTTTTCCAGCTTTGTTTGGAAAAGGACGGTCCCAGTCAGAGTTGTGAAGGCTCGGTTCTGATCCAGTTCCCTCAGCGGGCTGAGGTCAGAACTTTAACTGGGTCTCTGCCCCTCCTCCAGGCTTTCCACCTCCTCTTCCTCCCCCGGCCCCCCTCCCTCTGCTCCTCCTCCTCAGGCAGCAGCAGAACCTTGGGAGCAGAGTAGCAGGACGGTTCGGACGGTACCAGGAGTTGGACTTTTTTTAGTCGAGATGAAGTCGTGGTTGCTGGTTTCGGTTCTGGCCATGGTTCTGGCCATGTGCGAGTCCCGGTCTCCGTACCAGACGGTTCTGCAGCACAGCCGGATCCGAGGCCGGCAGCAGGGGTGAGTGTCCGAACCGAACCGAACCGCTCAGAGTTCTGCTCCAAGAACTGACAAACGGTTACTTTAAGCGGATCAGAGACAGAAGTTCTTCTGGGTCCGAGCAGGAAAAGTTCTGCAGAACTTGTCCAGGTCCGGACATCTGGACCTGCAGGGCGCCCTCTGCTGGACGCTCAGGATAATGGAGCAGGACAATGACGTTGTACTGAAGTATCACGAGTATTACTGTAGCAGTGAAACCTACAGCAGGTCAGTACTACTCGGTGCCGGAGGTTCTGCCAGAACCGTCTCAGTTTAAGGTGGACCCAGTTAGTTACAGAGGGAGTCTGAGTTCATATGAACCGGTTCTTTTAAAGTGGACTGAGTCTCATAAAGGTGGAATCAGGTCATTTAAGGTTGACCCAGTTGGTACTGACCCAGTTGAGGTTCTGGACCGGGTGATTTAAAGCTGCAGTTCGTAACTTTTCTAGTCTGTGATCAGATCTCTGCTTGTAGCTACAGTCTTAGAGCTGTCAGTCACTCTTGTGTATGCGCTGCTCATCCCTCCCCATTTCTGTCTGCTGCTACAGTCTGCCATAAATGCTAGGCTAGTTAGCATAGCCTCAGATGAGGCAGATAAACAGTTTTCCTGTGATGGTAATCAGTGGTGGAAAGTACTTCGTTACTGTACTTAAGTACAATTTTCATGTATCTGTACTTTACTTAAGTAGATTTAATAATGGGTACTTTCTAC